CCAGAAGCTCCCTAACTAAATCCTTGCTAACCCTTGGCCCAGATGTGCCACCCCCGGGGCCCGAGGGGGGCCCAGCAGGGAGGTGACTGTTCTGGTCCCTACTTAGGAAGACGGAGGCAAAGAAATCGTTAAATATGTTAGCTTTGTCGTCTGGTGTGGCGACCAAATTTCCCAACGCGTCCTGCAAGGGCCCCACATTACCCCACATTTGCCTGGAACCCCCATGAGATTCCCAAAGCTTACTTCCTGCAAGGTGCAACAGTCAGTTGAGGAGAATCTATACAAGCAGAAAAATCATTCTGTAATTACAGCAAACAGATTTCTTCCCCTTGCCCATATTCATTTCAACTGCATCTTTTAAATTTTGAGACATGACTCCTATCCCAAATTCAACAAAAAACTTGGTTATGTTCTCAATCAAGAGCTTGCAGCAGGGATGTCATCTTGACCAGCTATCTAATCAGGTACAAGTGATTTAATTGTCTGAATAACTATAGTACTTAACTCCCGGAAATATGTATCAAAGGCAATATTCTTTGCTTACAATAACAAAATATACGTAATTGTACATTATGAATGCTGCTCACTTATTTTATTCTTAGATTTGTAAAGCTATCAATGTCTGGGTCAATGTCTAATGTTTGTTATATTAAGAATGTAGGAAAAAACAGCTGTTCATATACAACCCCTTATGCAGGGTACCAAAAAAAGGTTACTAGGTCATACTGTTTAAATGTCTTGAACACTGCAGATGTTACACCCATTCTGAAATCATAGAAGTCTGTGCAAACTTAAATAAATTATTTTAGAAGGGTTATTTTGGACTCTACGAGGGTTCAACTCTGTCTCATGTGCTTCAAATATAAACTTACCAATAAACAAGCTGGAACAGACCCATCCTCCGTACAGTGCTCTGCATATTCTTTTAAATCTGAGCTTTCCAATATAAACTCACGACAGGTAGCTGAAAGTTTTTCTTGTTGTAAATATCCTGCAGTAAATAAGACAAAGGTATGTGATTTGATTCACTTTTTTACAAGGTACACTTGCTAGGTGTCAATGCACTGATACAATTATGTAGTATAATACAGTAAGCTTATGGTGTAATCATCTAAGCACTCAAGTGACAAATACTCAAGAAAACACGAGTTGCATTGTTTTGAAAGAATAGCTACCTTTCTACACATCTCTCCAGTAGTTATGTCACACAGCCTCACTGACACCATGCCACATGTACATAAATAACTCTTCAACTAAGAAATGATCAGCGTTGTTTAATGAAACCATTTGTGTGCACAGTACCCTAAACAGGCAAAAAATAGAGGTCTTGCCTCAAGTGACTTAAGTCAAATATGAGCTGAGTATTCCAGTTTTAAAATAAAAATGGTACTCTGCAGTAAACTTTAAAAGACATTGCCATACAACAATCAAGTGGTTTTGTGCATGTTTTGAAGTTCCAAACCAGGAAAACAAATGTAATATAAAAATATTTTACATGATTTCTTTCTCCCAAAAAATGACATTATAAATATTTATACACATGGGAAAAGCAACACATGTCCATGCTATAACTTTGCTTTTAGTAGGTGAATCAGCTATAACTTAGGCACTCCTACAACTCAGACTCTCTCACCAGCCTTAATATGATATATACAGAAAATCTAACTCCTTCCACCTTCCAAAAGTCTCAAACCAATGATATTTTAATATTTTATATTAACATTCAAATACCTCAGGTACCAAACAGAAAGGAAAAAACACTATTTGACTGAATGATTCTAGACCACTGAGCCATAAAAGTTAGTATGGCACATAGTTTATTTTATGCTGAAGATGGCTGGCCCCTGGCGATTTGGCCACACTGGTTTTAAATGTCTCTTATGGGATTTCACTACCAAACATGTTAACTCCAAATTATCACATAGAAAATAGTATTCTTTGAACTGACAAAGAGATAGGACCCAAAACTTTTTCCTCTATGTTCACAATAGTGTTCAGTATCTGACACACAATGAAAGCTAAAAAAACACCCAAAAAACTCTATTAACTGTTCAATGCTGTGCATTACAGAAGTTTAAGTTACACATGTCCCAAAAGTGATTAACTGGTAATGTAACATATAACAATCATTTTTTTAAGTTTTGCAAATGTGTTCTGTGGGTCAAAGAAAGTAGAACCATATCTTCTATCTCTGACTTATAATAGTTAAGGATATATATGCTATGCACACAGACAAATTACAAAATCAAGCACCAAGAAGTTAGGAAATGCCGAAGCTAAGGTTGCCTGTAAAATATTACTTTGATCCCTTGTGTGCATGCATTATGCATTCCTATTTCATTCCATGATCAGAAAACAGTTTTCTATAGACCCCTGTATTTCACACAGGATGACCAGCACTTTGCATTTGCAGCTATTCAGTGTTTTTGTTTCCTTATCATGCAATGCCCTGTGCCTTATTTACTGAATCCAAAAGCAGTCCCAAGGGGCAATAATTTATTTGCAATAGTGTTGGGGTGATTTTGTAGCTGTGATGGTCCAGGAAAAATGTGAGAAGCAAAGATTTTTGTGGGTGGTATCTTTTATTGGACCAACTGCATAGTTGGAAGGGATATGGAGATTTAGGAACCACAGTACCCATTTTTGTCAAGTCTTCCTCACATACAACCCACAAAAATCCTAATTTCCTTGCAGAATTTTCTCCAGTGCTTTTGCTGTTTCATTTTAGTTTTTCTACAAATATTAAAAAGTTTATTTTCACAGCATCACAAGGTAAAAGCCAGGTAGCAATGAGATGCTAGATGAGTACAGACTCTTGAGATCACTGATTAATAGCTTGTAAGTTCTATTTTTTAATATAACCAAAGCAATAGATTTCCCTCCCACAACTCAACTCTCTGAAACACCCGCAGCATTTCATATAGGACTTTAGAAATGGTCCAGCTGGAGGCAAACACACCTTTTGGAAAAACTGAGCCTGAGTATTTGGCCAAGTCATGAGCAACAAAAGATAAGATCTACTACACTTTTAATTAAGTCTCATTACATGAGCTGCTTACAACGCCTCCTTTCATTTGAAGCCTATGGTTTTTCAATTCCTGACCCCTCATTCTTATATTGAAAAAGTTAAAGGGCTCTGTCAGAAATGGATCAATGAACCCAGCAATCCCTGAAAATAACCATTTTAAAGTGACCCCCCTTCTACTGTTATGCTAACCCACAATCGTGCATCCACGCTATTGGTATAGTGGAAAAAGCCATCAGGGCTTATGGTAAAGGTGATATCTTTTAGTCCAACAAGATTTTTGCAAAACCTGACACATGGAAGATACCAAATTTTAGCCAATTTTGAAATGAAATCTTCATATTTTCCCCAAAGAGGAGGCAACTGTGACCACCTGAAACCTGAGATACTGCTCCTGCTTTTGTTCAAGCTAATTTGCATCATCACAGAGCCTCACAAGAGAGGTGAGAGACTCTTCACCAGCTAAGACCTACCTGCCTGCCCAGAGGAGTTTTTCATCTGACTCCTCTGCGAAATCCTATGAAATATGAACTTTCTTGTCTACCCAGGAGAACTTCTACAATCTTTTCTCCAATGCCTGATGAAGGGTGTTTGTGCCCAAAAGCTTACAATGAAAGAATTTCTTTTTTTTTTTGCAAAAATCTTGTTGGTCTAATAAAAGGTATCACCTCTATCATGAGCCCTGAACCCCACAATCATGTTTCTCAAGTTGCAGGCTCCTAGCCCGTGGTAGGAGGGGGCTCTCTCAGGCTGGTCTTCCAGTTCACAGGTAAACACACAATCAGCCTGGCAGCCAGAGCGATGCTGTGGGGGGTGAGGTGACAAGCCAAAATTATGCAAGACAAGCAGATTTCTTGGGGGAGGGACGATCATTCGTTGGACCAACTGCAAGGTAGAGACACAGCCAGAAAGTCTGTGGGGGACGGCAGCCTCAGTCACGTCCCCTGCCGCCCGAGAAAGCAGCTTTGCCCTCTGCTTGGCCGGCTCTGTCCCAGTGGCGCAGCCAAAGTGCTGCACCCCTCCCCCCCGCGTCGCCCCCTGGCGGCCCGCGCACCAGCGGCTCGTTTCCATCACCCCCTTTATTCGCCTCAGACACCAGGAGACAACGCGGGCGGGTCCCAGCGCCGCCACAGGCTCCCCACGGGGCCAAAGCGCCTCGAGGCCGCAGGGAGCCGGGGCGGGGCGGGTCTCTGGGCTGAGGCCGCGCC